CTTTCATTGGTATAAAACAAGCATCAACACATGGAGATAGAAACGATTAAAAACATTTTATAAGCTAAGCGAAACTGGTTAAAGTAAAAAGTTTAAAAAAAAGGAAAACAACAAATTATTTTTCTAAGAAAAAACACTGAAAATCCAATTCTAAGTAACAAAGTTTTAATTCGTCTCTGTAAAATTCATATATTATAAATATATATCACTATATTAAATATTAGGTGCCTTTATTTTCCAATCCTCATTTTAGTCTATAGAATAATTTTTCTACAGAATATTTCTAACATAATTTTTATACTTATATATATATATATATATATATATATATATATATATATATATATATATATATATAACAGATGGAGGCGGGATAAGTGCTCTTTCAACAATATAAATAAAAGAAATCTGACTTCTCTATCTAAATATTTTTGGCATTTGAAGGAAATAAATAGAACACCTAAAGTAAAATGGAAAATTATAAACAGGACTAGAACTTTTGTAAAACTTGGGATGACCTGTGCCCTTTGTGCCTCCATGAGAAAATGCACATTATTAAGTTTCTAAATAATAAAAATTTATTAGACAATAGACATGAGTTAACGGTTTTCTGCCGACATCATCAAATTTTTGCATTGAATAATTAGCTTAAAAACAAACATACAATAAAATATTTTTTATAATCCATAGCCCTAATAAATAGTTTAAATACGCCACAAAAAAGATAACCCTTTATGAAGTCGTCAAAAAACAAATGTTACGGCAGTTTTTTTTATATACACAAAACCCTTTCATAAAGAAATAAAATAAAAAAATCCATAGACACGTAAACCAGACTAGGCGAAAACATCTTCCGTTTTAAATTTAGACACCCCCACCTTACCCTGACTTGACATCTATGAATGTAACTCTATACTGATACAAATTATTAACACGCAACACCCCTCCCTATTCAAACAATCGCCCTGGCTGTTACCATGGAAATTAATGCTATTAAAACTCAAAATTAAATTTCAGAAATAAGTTATTCCAAAAAAAATTTCGCTTGAAGATGGAACAGAGCTTACTTTAATTCAATTTAATTCAAATAATTTTATTGAAGTTTTCAGCTCTTGTTTTGAAACATGAGACCTCTTATGTAGCGTGTTGGAATCATATTTTTAAATAAATAATTATATATATAACACATATATATATGTATTTGTGCGTGTTTATGTGTGTGTGTGTTTATGTGTGTGTGTGTGTACAGAGAGAAAGAGAATACAAAAGAAAAAATGTTAATGAAAGAAATGGAAATGTGAGAAAAAACAAGAAAAATATCTAAATGTTGAGGAAGAATAAAGATGTAAAATTGAAAGAAAGATTGAACGGAAGAAAAATTGCCAGGGAAAGAAAAAAATATGCCTAAAAGAAGAAGCAAACAAAAAGTCTTTGAAAGAGAATTACGTTAAAAAACAAAAGCAGAAAACCTTTTAATAAGAAGAAATGAATGAAAGAAAAGTTTAAAGAAAAAGAAAGACTTCAGAAGAAGACTAAAAGAAAGGAAAGAGAAAAAAAGGAAAAGTTTAAAAGAAAGATCTTACTGGTCAGTCGGTTTTAGTTCAAGCAATCTTTTCCGCTCGGCCTGGCTATAGATCTACAGACGAGATAATAGCATGGGTTAAGGAGATCGTTGATGGTTTCCGATGGTTTACGATATTTTCCGATTGAAAATGGTGGACATTCGTACGGGCGTCGTACCCTCACAACCTCGTCAATTGGCAAACCAACAAATAAACACTCAAAACAGACCAAAAATAAATAAATACATAAAAAAAAGGGCGGAAAATACTTCAGCAACAACAAGAGAAAAACGAGAAAGCCCAAGCTGGAGTTTCCCATAAATGCAACGAAGTATGTGCTTGACGGAGTTGTTTTAAGATAGAAGAATAGAAAAGAAGTAAAAACAAAACGTAAAACAAAAACAGAAAGAAAAAGCATTTAAACTTTTGATCTTATCGTTGGTTTTTAATATTCAGTTGAGAATTGCTGGCTGCATGATTAAGGATTGATTCGTGAGGTTAAGGGTACAGGGACAATTTAAAAAGTGTTAAGGGATAATTTTAATCTTTTTCTTTCTTTCTCTTATGGCTTCTTCCTATTTATTTTGTCTTCGCGTTTAATTCCTACCTTTTCTTTTATCATCTTTCTTTAATTCCTCTTTCTTCCTTTCTTTATTTCTTTCTTGTTTTCTTTCGTTCTCGTCCTGTGCTCCTTTTCTTTTTCGATTTTCCGTTTTCTTACAATTATTTCTTTCCGTTGTATTTCCTTAGCAAGGCTAAAAACAGGAAATAAGGAATAAAAAGGCGGTATGAAGCAAGTTCTTTTATTTTCTTTAAGATAGAGACAGAACCAGCCTGCTTAGAAAATCAGTATTGGAAATTTTTTCTTTTTTTTTTTTTTTTTTTACTTGAGCTCGAACATCGATCTCCGTCCTCGACAAAAAATAGGTCACCGGTTCAGTCTCATGTCGTTTTTGCTTCAATTTTCTTCCTCGATTTTATATTTTCGTTCGTTATTTTTCATCAACGTTTACTGTTCTTTTTTTCTTCACTTTTTTCTTTGTGTTTCTCATTTGTTTCTTCAGTTTTCTGTTTTTTCATTTCTTTATTTGGCTTCGTCGTTTTTCGTTTTTTTTTTCCTTTTCTTTATTTAATCACATTTTCATCGATTTTTATGTTCTTTTCTTTACTTTTATGCGTCATCTTTCGTCGTTTTCTTTTTTTCTTCTTCAACGTTTTTTTTTTTGTTTGTTTCTTTCTTTTTTTACATTTATTCGTCGATTTCCTCTTTTTTCTTTCATTGTCTTTCTTGTTTCTGTTCTTATTTCTTCACTGTTCTTTCTCATCTTTTTCTTTCTTTTCTTTCTTTCTTTCTTTCTTTTGCGAAACAACAAAAGTTTACTGCCACTTTGCCGTAAATCTCCCAACACACATCCATACAAACACAAAGCAATTTACTAAATGTCATAGTCAGTTTTTGAACTAAAAGCGAGAAAGAAAGTGAAAATTACGCTCTGTGTTTATCTTCTTGTTATCACTTTCTCCAATTATTTGTGAACATGACAACCAAAGACCCAACAAAAAAAATCCCTCAACTGAAATTAGATGAAAATTTAAAAAAATATATAAAAGCAAATCACCTCAGCATTAATAAACCTCGTGAGCGGCCGTGTGCTACCGACAGTTAGACCACTTGAAATCGCCATAACTTAGTTTTTAGTCTCCCCTATTTACAATCAGATAGCCAAATGACAGCGTGTCTGACGGCTTCAATGGGCGAACTGGAGATAAAATCCAGTTGATATGGAATCAATGGATGTTTCAAATGGATGTCTTTGTGAGTGAGTCTCATAAAGAAAGGATGGATTCTCAAATGGACTCTTTCGCTACTCGAATAAACCATGAAAAATTATCTTTGAAACATGTTTTTACGTGAATTCTGTAGTTTCTTTGCTCATTTTTGCTGTCTTTCTTAGAAAAAGGGACTGATTTTTCTGTTATTTTTTCCTCATTAGGATTGCTTAGGCTAATATACAGAAAAGAAAATCAAATCTTGTCAGCTTTTATTTCCTTTGTATTTTTTAAATCATATTTTTTTTCTTTATCTTTGTTTTGTTCGCCACTTGATTTTCATTAAAGAATGCACTCTTTTTTAGCAAATCCTTTTTTCTTTACCTTTATTTTTAATTTTTTTTTTTGAATCGGTTTTACCCTATGCAAGGTAGTAAAGCCACTAAGACACAAGGGATTACTGGGTGTAGAAGAATTAAGGACAGAAACAATACTAATGAGCGGAAAGAGGAAAGAACAATCAGAAAGACAGTAGATATCGATTAACATTGCATTTAAATTTTTGCAGATTAAAGTTAGTTGGAATGCATAGAGCCGGAAGGGAGAAACTGTTAGCATAGAATTTACGGATACGTCATGTCAATATATAAATTGATGAGATCTCGACGCCAGTCTAGTATTGCACTCTCTTTTATTTCCACTCTTTCTTTCCTTTCCTTTTTTCCTTTCCTTCTTTTACTTCTTTCTTTCTTTTTTCTTTCTTTCTTTCTTTTCCTTTCCTTTTTTCCTTTCCTTCTTTTACTTCTTTCTTTCTTTTTTAGTTTTCTTTCTTTCTTTCTTTCTTTCTTTCTTTCTTTTCCTTTCCTTTTTTCCTTTCCTTCTTTTACTTATTTCTTTCTTTTTTAGTTTTCTTTCTTTCTTTCTTTCTTTCTTTCTTTCTTTCTTTCTTTTCCTTTCCTTTTTTACTTTCCTTCTTTTACTTCTTTCTTTCTTTTTTCTTTCTTTCTTTCTTTTCCTTTCCTTTTTCCTTTCCTTTCCTTTTTTCCTTTTTTTCTTTTTTTTTTCTTTCTTTCTTTCTTTTCTTTCTTTCTTTCTTTCTTTCTTTCTTTCTTTCTTTCTTTTCCTTTCCTTTTTTCCTTTCCTTCTTTTACTTATTTCTTTCTTTTTTAGTTTTGTTTCTTTCTTTCCTTTCCTTTTTCCTTTCCTTCTTTTACTTCTTTCTTTCTTTCTTTCTATTTAGTTTCCTTTCTTTCTTTCTGTTCATTTATTCAGCCTATCTCTTCTTTCCTTTTTTCTCTATTTATTTTTAATTTTCTTTCTTTCTTTTCCTTTTTTCCTTTCCTTCTTTTACTTCTTTCTTTTTTTTTTTAGTTTCCTTTCTTTCTTTCTGTTCCTTTATTCATTCTATCTCTTCTTTCCTTTTTTCTCTATTTTTAATTTTCTTTCTTTCTTTCCTTTCCTTTTTTCCTTTCCTTCTTTAACTTTTTTCTTTCTTTCTTTTTTAGTTTTCTTTCTTTCTTTCTTTCTTTCTTTCTTTCTTTCTTTCTTTCTTTCTTTCCTTTTTTCCTTTCCTTCTTTTACTTCTTTCTTTCTTTGTTAGTTTTCTTTCTTTCTTTCTTTTCCTTTTTTCCTTTCCTTCTTTTACTTCTTTCTTTCTTTCTTTTTTAGTTTTCTTTTAACCACATGTCAAAGCATCGCATTGTTTTTAGGAAGAGGCTATTTTGCTGGTCCTGGTAAAATAGATAAACAAACTTTTAAGCTTATTTTACGGGTCTCGGTAAAATAGTCCCCGGACTATTTTGGCCATAAATATTCTTCTTATTAAAGCAGGTAATGTTAAAAATAACAACACACAGATTTAGCACAGAAGTTTATTCATTTTCACCATCAATTTTTAAGACAATTTAAAAACTTTTCCCCCATCAATTGTTAAAACACAAGTTAAAATAATTTATTCATTATTTATTAAACGAAATATAGAAGTCTCTGAATATTTTAAGCACTTCAGGCATAGCAATTTCTGCAAATCCCAAACTTGTCCTTGAGCATGGTTCTCTTGTTCATACACTTCGGGTACACCCACTGAAGAGAACAGTTACAGATCAAAGAATTCATGTTGTTCAAGTCCTGCCCACAGAGCTCACACAACCACTGCGCTGACGATCTCAAATATAATATATCCTTAATTCTAAGAATTGATGTCTATTTTACCAGGACCGGCAAAGTAGCCTATTTCTTGTTTTTATCACGATGTTCTAATACTTTAAAAAAAAAAAAATATCATTTTTTTCTGTAGGAATGATTGACCTTAGGCTGAGGTTCAGACTCCATTAAGTTGGCAAAATTTCTTTATATATTTTAGATTGGCAACGCTTACAGCTATCTATTAAATTAATTACTAATTTCAGCATAGAGAATCGCTCATAGAACTCTTTGTTGATATTTTTTGGTATCGCTTTCATATATTTTACTGAGCGGAGGTGACGGGGTCCCAACCGTCGTCCTAAAGAAATATGCTCTCGAGCTGGTTTCTTGTTCTCTCCAAATTCTTCAATTATCTCGCTGCTTTCTGCTTTTCAGCTTGTTGGAAGTCCTTCTCTGTAGATCCTGTTTTTAAGAACTCTGGAGAAACACCCTATTAGTTTCCTACCGCTTTTTGGTAAAGTATTCGATGCTTTAATCAATGCTAAAGTTCAAGGAGAGAGTGAGTAGTTCAAGTCGAGTCAAGAGTCGAGTCAAGAGTCGAGTCAGAGGCAGTCCGAAACAGTCGCGTTCAGACGATTACTGCAAGACATTGGAATAGTGATATTGGTCGAGACTACATTGTTCTCTCTACTAAACCTGATTGTTCATACTAACACTTCTACTTCTCTGTATATATTCCTGTTTGTAATATATCCGTGTTATTCCATACCTGTGTTCGAGTTCTTCTTTATTGGTTCTACCGGACTATCACCGTGGTACAAGGAACCGAACCATAACATATATATATACATGCCTACACAGTGTCTTGAAATTGTCATTTGGTCAGTTAATTAAAATGTTATATCATTGAATTAGGTTTTATTTCTGAATTAATGGACAATGACTAGAAAGTTGCGATGAAAAGAATATATGATGAAACGTTTTAATTCAGCATTCTCAAACTGAATAATAAAAAAAGCTGGTGGTCTTGTAAGTTACTAATGGATTGTTCCAGATTGGTAGCAATGATGTTTTGTCCTTGAAAACATACTTGACTTCAGAATCATTCTCAAGTTAATATAATGTTGTCATCTTTAAGCCATATAACTATGAAATTATACAGGGTAGAACAGAAATATCTCCCACGTTTTACAATATCATCTTGACATCGACTTGTACGCAAGGTCGATTTGTACGCCGCAATTTACTGTACCTTGCTCTTTTTGTTACCCTTAAGAATGTCAGAGGTATTTCTGCCGCGCTCTGTTTATATTAGGTTGAATCATTTTCGTTTTGGGGAGCCAATTATAATGAAGAATGTACCATTCTAACAAATCATTCCTTAAATATATCATAACAAGTGATGAAAAATAGGTTGCATTCAACAATGTTTAATGCAAAATGTTTGACAAGGATAAATCTTCACAAACGATTCCAACATCTGAACTCCATGGAAGAAAGGTAATGTGCGAGGTATCCATTTAAAGTTCTTAAAACGTAATGAAACATTAAATACGGTTATCCATAAGAACAATGTTGTTCGCTTCCATGACAATGCAAGTCTATATCCAGCAAGAATAAAACAGGAAAAACGCTGAAACTTTTGCCTCCTTTCCCCCAATCGTCATATTCATCTGGTCTTTCACTATCTACCGTTTTTGATCGCTGCCAAACAAGTTCATCGAAATCTGTGATATTTTGCTCAAAAGTTATCGAAGAGCTGCCTGAAAATTGGCGATATGTAAATGTACTTTTTTTTCAGAAAAAAGTTTATAAGCGAAAACGGAAATTATTTATGACTTGATATATGTTCATTGGTTCATTTTCTACGGTTTATCAAACACTTGAAGGTTATTTAAAACCAGATAGTATTTTTAGATTGTAAGTGCTTTTTTGTGATAATAATGGCTTAGTGATACAAGTCCTACTAATTAACTCATAGCTGAAGGAGAAGGGATAGATTGGTACGTTTCCCAAGTGTATATGCGTGTAAGTGAATATAACAAACCCAACGGGAACTGTAACCGGGCTCTCTGATTAACAATTCCAAGATATTATCCATTACACCACCCGCACATCCAAGCTTACAGCACCTGATATTCCCAAGCGGTCACCCATCTAGATATTGAACAGGATCGACCTTGCTTCGGTGTTCGTGTTCGTACGTGAATCGGTGTTTCAACGTGATATAGCCATAATCCCCTCATATATATATATATATATATATATATATATATATATATATATATATATATATGTGTGTGTGTGTGTGTGTGTGTGTGTGTGTGTGTGTGTGTGTGTGAATTGGGATCAAATATTGATTTGTATTCGATAGGAAACGTTTATCAATCTAACATTTTTTCACTTTTATTAAAGCTTTCTCAGAGAATGAGATATGGAGAAAAAGAAGAAAAAACAACAAACATAATGTCTTCTAGAAACATACACAAACACACGCACCAATATACATTATTATCTGAATTCTACATAGAAAAACAAGAATTATTATACCCTTACTTACATAAAGCAATATTTACTGTAGCCTCAAGTGCCTTCTTCATTTGGGAGGAGATTGTTCAGCCTTTAATGTTATATAGGATGACCGATATTGCATAAGAGTTATATTTATTCTGAAGTGACGTGGCACATACAAGAAAAAGAAGAAGAAGAAGAAGAAGACGTAAATTTAGAAGCAATATCTAATATCACTAGTGATAGTTATTTCGCCGAATACGACACAAAATAGTCCCACACCGCCAGTTTTATTTCTTTTGTTGCTCATGAAAGACCTTGCTTATATTTAAAAGCCTTGTACCATTTAGAAATTGGAGGCCAGCAATTATTGAAATGGTTATGATAATATTAGCTCTTTCCTTATAAGGAAACATTTGGCTTTTGTTGACCGAGCAGTCAGTACTTTTGTAAGTTGAAATTTTTAAAATCTTTCTCTTAAAACAATTTTTCAGTAAAATACGTTTCTCAAGCCCAGAGTTATCGTTCTTTCCAGCATTGATGGTGCTTTTCTTCCTAATCATTTTATTTTGAAGATGTGTGGGACGTCAACATTGTGAGTAAGTCATTATTTTCTCTTCGAGTTTCAGGCAATATTCATTTTAGCTGTTATTGCTGTTGAAAGTCCTCATGTGATGTAGTTTCTGTTATTTGGTGTAGTTTGTGATTCTTTAGCGCAAATTCACAATGTTCAAAGAAGGATAGTCTTTGCCAGAGTTAAAGAAATGGTGTGTGCTACTCAGTGTCTGCTTGGCGGCAGTTGATCATGTCCCTTGTTTATTTCCACGGAATATAATACCAGCAATAAGCACAATGACATCAATGGATAGAGAAAATTTACAGTTTCAAAACAATATTTTCCACGTCGTCACCACACCACCACTGGCTCTGCATTTTATACAGCGATAAATACGAGCATGGATGTAGCGTTTGTAAAAGCTTCTCTAGCGGAAGCAACACACGTTTTCACTTAAAGGACTTACACACGGCGTAAATGCTTGGTCACACCAATTGACGAACAATCGGCGAAGATTATCAACAGTAGTAGTCTCTGCTTTGTACGCACTTTCATGTTAAAAACCATTTAATTTGATTGCTATTTATATTAAGGACAAAATGATTATGGGCTTTTTGGTGAAAAGTCTCAAAAACATGAGCCATAGGAGCAGAATGTTAATAAAATACAGTGTAACCCGGATATAAGAGAGTTGTCGGGACCGGAGAAGAAGTCTCTTATATCCGGGTTTCTCTTATATCCGGGTTTCGTCTATTTTATATACATTAACACAGGCTCTAATTTGGGACCAGAGAAAATCTCTCTTATATCCGGGTTTCTCTTATATCCGGGTCTCTTATATCCGGGTTACACTGTAGTAGGTAGTTCTTACATTGGCAACACATTATGAAAAGGATCGTCATAGTATTCTAGTTTTAAGCTGAGATATATTTATGGGTAAAAGTGTTCAGTATCAGGGATAGTGTGTATGTAAATGTAAAAATGGATATTAAGGTCAATACTGAGCAACGACAGTCTGTTTCATGCTTAAACGCAATTTTCAGGCTATTTTTTCACTACTTTCTTTATTTATTTCTGGTTTCAACGTTTGCTCTATCTTTTTTTTTTACATGAAAATATATTTCTATTATTCAGTTTTTTCTACTTATTTTAACCAATTCAACCGAGTCTGCTTTTCGTAATTGCAATCTCAGTGTCTTCAGAATTCAAAGACATAAATGAAAGTATCTTTTCACACAGTTAGATCTATATAGAATAATATTGTATACCTTACACTTTCACTGCCTAAGAAGAACAACAAAAGATAGAGATCTGCTGACCAACCCTCATATACTTGCTTAGTATTCCATGATATAAACTGTTTATTATCACCAGCAGGGATAGTAGTGCACCACTTGTTTTACTTCTGTTAACAAGAATATAGTCGAGCCAAAACACAACACACATGACTTGAAGA